GTACCCTTCCTTTTCGAGGTCTGGGGATCGAGTGCTAATACACTACCAGTATCTCCTGGCGTCCTGGCCAACAATCCCCCAGATAAGAAGAAAGTTGTTTGCTCACTCCACGGCTGTCTATGGGACATTGATAGATACAAACTGGCTGCCACATTCGCCAACACAAAATACACACAGTCGCACCGCTTTACATCATGAAGCGCTTTGAGACGTCTCAAGGCGCTATATCGAATGCAAGGATTATTGTATTGTTATTATCCAGGAACTGACCATTTTGCACATGTTCTGTACAAGCTATTTCTATTTCAAACAGGATCTTACATAGGACGCTAAATGGGATTGAAAAAATAATGATACTAATAACCTTTCCATTGATACAGCCTCTTATTGCACCGTTGAGACGTCTCAAAGCGCTTCACAGCATATAATGTAAAGTGAATTAACTGCTATTTGTGGGCGAAACTCAGAACAGGTGTAGTAATAATAATAATAATAATCCTTGCATTTGATATAGCGCTTTTCACGTCGGGAGGACGTCCCAAAGCGCTTCACAGAACACACTGTAAAGTGAATTGACTGTATATTTGTGGGCGAACGCGGCAGCCAATTGCGCACAGCAATGTCCCACAAACAGTCGTAGATTGAAAATGACCAATTTATTATTGTTTTGGGTTTTGGAGGGAATATTATTAGGCTCTGTGTGGAGTAAGGAAACTTGCCCAAGGTTTGGCCCTCTGCCTGGAATTGAACTCAGGTCTCTCGCTCGCAAAGCGAGTGCTCTAACCACTGAGCTACAGGACTCTAGTAACAGATATTGGTACAGAGGCAGATACTCAATATCTGTTACGCCCACTCGGTTAACTCCACTTCTCTCCAGCCTGTGAAATCATTGACAAGAAGTGCTGTCTGTAGTATTATTCAATGGTCAAATCAGATCTACGCATGGTGTCCTGTAGCTCGGTGGTTAGTGCACTCGCCTCGCAAGCGAGAGACCTGGGCTCGATTCCCGGCAGGGTGAAATGTTGGGCAGGTTTCCTTACTCCACACCTCTCTGTTTACCTAGCAGTCAGTAGGAACCTGGTTGTTAGTCGATTGGCAGATCGCTTTTCCGGGGATAATAATCCCTCAAGAAAGAAAAACCCGATAATAATTTGGTCACTCAATCCACGGCTGTTTGTGGGACGCTGCTGTGCGCAGTTGCTCGTTTTGCCCACAAATGTACATCTCGAAGGCATGAAAAGCGCTATTCAAATGCAGGGTTTATTATATTATTATTATAACGGTGCTTTCACGTGTGCCAAAACAACAGGGCACAGGTTTGGGCTATTATAATGGACTTCAGGGAGTATTTCATTACACGCTGGTGATCAAACACTAGAACAATTTACCTGGAAGAGTGGTCGCGGCTGGGTTTCATTAAAGAGCTCAATATCATTATGTAACGAGAGGATGGGAGAGAAACTATTCCTTTGTTTTATGTTAGAACACAGTTAACGTCTGGCACATTAGCACCTGAGCTCGTGATGTGTCGCAACAACATTCTGTATGTTATGCATTATAGAATAGCGTCTTTGTTTGTATCTGATGTGCTGGCAAATAAGAAAATATATATTATTTTAAAGAAGCCAGTGGTGTTTTGAATGTGTAGCAGACTTGGATGCCCTGTGTAAGAGTTGCTGTTGAATTATTTAAACGTTCTGAGTCTATCGCCCAGCATTAAGTTAGTGTCTCGCTAGACTGGTGGAACTAAAGGGGAAGCGAAATGGAGCCCGGGGTTCACAATGAATCAATTCAATCCGTTGGGTGTCAAAATTGTGCAGTAAAATTCGGAAAATAAATGCCACGCGATGCCCTGCCTTATGATTTAATAACCACGTGCGAGGATGTCGCAAAAATGGAGACTGACGGCACTGCACAGGCTGTGAATCACTTCAGTCGAGTGCCAGAGGCAGTGAGCCGACAAACATTAAATTGCATTCTCTCTGCTGTCTCCTCGTTCCATTAACGTGAACAGTGAATACACTCGGCAAATCTCAATAGTACCAACCTTTGTCCCTCCGTGTCCATCTCTAAGAACTCTGAGATCACTCACTGTTCCCGATGATAGGTTTCATATCACACAATGTGCTTTAAATCTGCGACAAAGTACTGTGTAATTCTGTAGGGCGAGAGATTACTATTCATGAGTGAGTCGTATTCTGATTTTGATGAATTTTAATTGACTATATTTTTTATTAGGCCGAAGGAAAAATGATAATCCTTGAATCGGTGCCTCCAAACGTTGAAAAGTGTGAAAAGCGCTTGATGGGGAACTGCATCTGTGGTCAGATGCAGTCACTGTGTGTTGTAAGCAAGCCAGAAAGGTCATTTTGTACACAGCTCGTTCCTGCAAACCGCCATGAAGTGAAAGACCCAATTTATCTGGTGCTCGGCCAAGACTTTGGGAGTGGGAGAAACTCCCTTCTTGTTTTGAATAGTGCCATGGGATCTTTAATGTCCGCCTGAACAGCCGGGCAGGATCTTGGCATGATGTCTAATCTGAAGGACAGCACCTCTGCCATTGCATTAACTTCCAAGTATAGCGCGGACTTGTTGGGCTAGACTGACTTCAGGGAGTAAACTGCTTCAAGTCACGCCAGCAAAACAGCTATGGAATTTGGTTACGTACACACTCGTGCATTTGGCTTCAAAGGCAAAGCACTCTTCCTCCTCTAATCATAACGGGATGAAAAATGCACAGTGTGATGTGAGACTTCTTCGGGTGAGACGTTAAACCGAGGTCCCGTCTGCGCCTGTTCAGGTGGTCGTTAAAGATCCCATGACACTATTGGAAAAGAGAAGGAGTTTCTCCTCTCCCACAGTGTCTTGGCCAACAATTTCCCAAATAAAATTGATCACTCACTCCACGGCCGCTTATGGGACATTGCTGTGCGCAATTGGCTGCCCCCGCAAAATGCAGTCACTACACTTTACGGTATATTCTGTGAAGCACATTGAGACGTCTCGAAGACGTGATAAGGCGTTATATCAGATGCAAGGATTATTATTATTATTAATTATCTTTTGGTGCTTTTGGCCCTGGCGATATCAAAGCTACCAAGAACTGACTTGGTTTGCCCACCACCATCTCATTTACAGCAGACATTGAGACAGCTGGTGGCAACTTGGCATTTGCTGCCTCGCAGATCCCACCATTCCAGTGGCCGTTGAGGGAATACCGACTTAACTGAGATTCACCTGTTAGGGACTGAGACGTTTCCAGCAGAGGAATGTCTCCTGGGCGTTTTTCACCCCTCGGTTAGACAAGTGGGAGCCAGCGGTCTGGGACTTGCGAGGGGAAGAGAAATGAAAACACTTGAGTTTAAGAAATCGCAGTATTTCTCTCTCCTGTGTGGAATGCCATCTGTGGCACTAACACGTCAGCTCTGGGATAACATTAGCTTTTACAACACAGACTTTGCTCTCGCAGTTTGACATCAGTTCAACCCTTCAATGTGTCACAGTCGTGGAACCCACTCCAGACTGGGTGTTACCCTGTGTTTATTTTACTGGCTGATATAGGAAATACCAAGGCTTCTAATACTGCAGTTCAGTGGGTTTTTTCCATAGGAAGCTAAGTTTAGCTCACCAACAGAGAGTGCTTGTAGGAGCGTTTTGCATGTGGATGTGAGAGCTTTTCAGTGCGAGCCTTATAATCTGAGCTGTGCTGTCTTTCGCTGGTATAAATTATACTTGTTTGCAATTTAATCAGGAAATGTTTTAAAAGAGAAAGAACGTGCATTTTTCTAGCAACGACTGGCATTTATTTGCCCAGCGCCTCTCACGCAGGGGGCTTGACCGTGGCGGAGAATGACGCCAAGCTGGTGGGAGGTGGCTGTAGGCCCGGTTGAAGGCGCTTATCACGTCAGTCTCTCAAAGCGCTTTTAGAGTATCTTGTTGTGTGTGGGCAGGTAAACACGGCAGCCATTACTGCACGTCCCAAGGCCCACAAACTGGGAGAAGCTCCCTTCTCTCTCCGCATGGTGTCAGTGGATTGTTGGTGACCAACTGAAGCTGCGGCTTCATCCTGAAAGGCAACACCTCTCCCAATTTATTGTTCTTGTCTTCCCCCACCACGTGGTACTCAGGGATATTACTATTCTATATGAAATCCAGCATTATTATGTATTTCCAAATCGTATCCTTTTTGGGGATGGCCATTAGGTTACTTCCCATCTACCTTGAGATTCAGCTGAACGGTAATGTGCTCCAGATGGTTCTTCTAAGGTGTCTGTATCTCTACAGGGCCATCAAATAGAGAACATTGCCATTCTCTGCTCATTCTGCTGCTGTCGTAAGTTAATTGCAGTGTTTGACGCCACAACAACTGGCTCTTCATCTCTAATTAATCTCATTCTGCAAAGTGCATGGAGATATTTTTCTAACATAATATGTATTTTACAAGGGAGGATAGTGGTTGCACACTGGAAGTATTTCTTCCCAGTATTTGTTTGAACTGTTAACACTTCGGCATATAAAATACGTGTCCAATCCTGCAGCGTGCTGGTTGGAGCACTCGGAGAGCGATATTCCAATCGACTTAACAACCGGGTTCCTACTTACTGCTGGGTAATCAGAAGCGTGTGGGGTAAGGAAACCTGCCTAAGGTTTCGAGTGTCCGTCCCGCCTGAGAATCGGACCCAGATCCCCTCGCTTGTGAGGAGAGTGCAGACTCTGTTGGACGGGCAACAGAATTGAGAAGCAACACACAAAAGACTATTGATATGAACAAAATCCTGGAAATTTCTGAGCATCATTCTGTGGTGTTTGTGGGGTGCAACGATCTCCGATTCTACCAGGTGTTCATAAAAACCGAGCAAGATTAAACAACGTGCTGCCCGACGGAGGTCGCGGCAGATGGGGGCCTCTTTTTAGAGGTTGGCTTCGTGCGTTTGCATTCGTTCAACTGTTGTCCACGATTACACTGAGAAACATCTCGGGCCTAAAGATCCGGTTAATGGAGTCCTGTAGCTCAGTGGTTAGAGCGCTCGCTTCATTGCGAGCGAGAGGACCTGGGTTCGATTCCCGGCAGGGCGAAACGTCAGGTAGGCTTTCTTACTCCACACGCCTCTGTTTACCTAGCAATAATAATAATAATAATAATTAAGTAGGAACCCAGTTGTTAGTAGTTTGGCAGATCGCTTTTCGGGGGTAATAATGACGTCAAAAAAATTTATAAATTGCTCACTGAATCCACAACTGCTTTATTTGTTTTACAATTTGTGTCTCTTTTTTCTCTCCCTTTCCCCCCTCTCCCCCGCCACCAAATATCCATGATTCTCCATCAGGAAGTGAAGCTGTTGATGAACATCAAGAGCTATGTCATTGCCCCTTGGTTAATGCACCAGCAGGTTCGAGTAAGTGATCGAAAGAAAGCATCTTAGTGATATAGGAGTGAGGAGAATGTTTTTGTGTACCAGGGGTGAGCGCCAGGTCCAAATGACTGTATTTCTAAACTCGCCATCGATAATTAAACCGTATAGAAAATAGAGTTTGAAAAATCTGCCTTGAAACAATCTTTATTCGCATAGAATAAAAAAGGGATTTTGCCCACAAAATATGAAATTAATTCACTTTACATTCTGTGAAGAGCTTTGAGACGTCACGAAGGCGTGATATGGCGCTGTATCAAAATGCAAGGATTATTTTTATTATTATAGGCTGTATTATAGCCTATAGGTAAGGTCGAAGTGGAAGGTTTTCAGGTGCGATCGAAGAGGGGGCAAGACGGATGGATTGATGCGCCTTACATCACTTTGTGATTTCATTTCTGTAACATTCCTTAAATATCCCAGCTGCTTTTTTGTTTTGGTCAGCCGGGTGTCCCGACACCTGTGGAATCCCATCACCGTGCTTAAGAGCATCTGACCCAGACTGAAGGGTTCCATGTGTGCCACCTACCCATGGGAATCTCTCTGCTGTTGATAATGATCCTTGCATTTGATATAGATGTGTCCGAGAATGAAGATTTGTTACTAAATGGGAATGCCTTCAATCTTGACGTCTAACCAACCCAGCGCTCCCAAGACACTACCCTGTGTGTTGATTTGAATACATCCCATATATAAATGCAGTTATTGGATTTCATTCCCCTAAGTTATCTTCCAGTCAGGCCTTACGGGCAGTCATAAAGATTATTTAGCGTTAAAATGTATGTGGACAGTGCCTTATAACACAGGTCAGTTGTGTGTTACACATGTGGCATTACAGAGCGACAAAAGAATCTTGTGAAGGGAATGTGTATTTTTGGAAAATTCCCCAACTCTCAGGATGTGGGAGAAAGATAACCATAATCGCAGGGCGAAAGCCTAAGGCAGGTTTCCTTACTCTTCTCTATTTACCTGGCAGTAAGTTGGAGCCCAATTATCAGTTAGCTGCTGGATTGCTTTCTGGGGGCAATAATCCCTCCAATTAAAAAAAATTTGGTGACTCAATCCACAACTGTGTATGGGACGCTGCTGTGTGCAATTAGCTGTCACATTTTGGCCACTAAATATACAGTCAGTTCACTTTACAGTATATTCTGTGAAGCGCTTTGCGACGTCTGAATGACGTGATAAGGCGTGACAGCAAATGTAAGGATTATTATATTATGAGTGTGTGTGGGAAATGTTGGCAACTGAAGACGATTCCACTGGTAGATAATCTGATATGCACTGAAAACTGAGGCTTTGTGATCATCTGGGGATGGGGGCAGAGGGTTCCTCTTTTTTTTTTACTAATGTTGAATGAATTGCAAACACAAATATACAGAAAAAGAAACTAGAGATGGCAGGCCGTGAGCAGAGTGACGGTTTATTCTTGGTGCTAACAAGAGCATCTCATCATTAAATGTCATTTCAAATTTTCAAGAGGTGCAGAGATGTTTGTTAGGTCAGGCTATCAAGGGATATGGGGCAGAGGCGGGTAATTGGAGTTGAGGTGCAGATCAGCCACGAACTAATAGAATGGTGGAACAGGTTCGAGGGACTGAATGGCCTCCACCTGTTCCTAGGAGCCAACTGTGATGTTACCTTATGCTTCATTGGATATTACTGTAAACCGAGAATGTCGAATAATGGAACGGGAAGTGAATTAGACAAGTGTCCAGGGATTATTATTGGATCTGGCACACACAATAACAACACTTTTTTAACCATGTCTACAACTGTCAACTCGGAGAAAATTAATTTACACTCCTTCGCCTTTCTGCCCCGTGCAATTTAACCTCCTCTGGGGGATTTTCTGTGTAATGTGAACTCACTGAAAAAAAATCCTAATGCACCTAATTTAGATTTACTGTAAGGAACAACTTGCATTTATATAGCGCCCTTAACATGGGGCAACATCTCGGAGCTGTTTTTTTCGTCGAGTCGGGGAGAGGGGGATGGACCACTAGGGCTTTGGCTCGCACAGTTGAAAGGGAGGATTCCCTGCCCCCATTGACTGGTCGGCCCTACCAAGTCCTACCAATGAGCCAGGCTGGGCTTTGGTCTCGTCAGCAGTGAGTGCCCTGGAATACTGCGGAACGGTCTGGCTCAGGAAGCGGACTACAGACCGTCACAGAGGGCTGGCTCGATTCTCACATTTCATTGACAAACACGTCACCTTGGAGCCAGTTGAGCTCCAAGGAGACCCTGTTCCCGCCTTCCCCAAAAGATGCATACTCAAAAGAAAGGTCTTTAGACGTGATCTGAAAATGGAGCAGAAGGGAGTGAGGTAGAGAGTTCCAAAGTCTCGGGTGTAATGGCTGAAAGCACGGCCACCGGTGATGGAGCGGAGGGGCCGAGGGACACGCAGGAAACCGAGTTGGCGGGTGGTGGAGTGGCGAGTAAGCCAGCTGGAGAGATAGGAAGGTGCAATCAGCACGTGTGAACCCACTCAAGCAAACCATTCGTGTATAATCTGTGCCATGTTTATTTTTGTGGCTAACGAGAGCATCTCATCATTATTTGCCAGGACGCCTTCATCCATCGCTTCAGTGCAAATTGCAATCGCTGATTATGTTTAAACAAGAGCTTTTGTTGTTGTTCCCTCCAAAGCTCCGCTGACAAAGTAGGAGTCACTTGTGTGACTAGGATAGTCGTGACAACTAACCAATATGTTCACCTGCTCGAATGCATGGGCTCCAGCTTCAGTGCTTTGATGCTTATCGCCGTGTGATTTGTACCATGCAGTTTGGGGGCTGGTGGCTTCTCCCATCCAATCAAAGTCCCATCATTTGCTTAGTCAATGTGTGGCCTCCAGGAATCGTACCAAAGTACTACATCAGTAGGTTAATGAAAATAATAATTTATTCCCGATCCATGACTGTTTGTGGGACAACAGCAACAAAATAACTGCAATACATAGTCAAATACTTCGCAATATATTCTGTGAAGCGCTTTGAGACGTCTCAATGACGTGATAAGGCACTATATCAAACGCAAGAATTATTAGTATTATTATTATTAACTGCACTAGAATGTCAGCCTGGACTGTGAGGGCTTGGTCCTACAGTGCTAACCCTCACCTAAAGACAGAATCCACCTGCCAACAGTGGTCTGGACCGCTTCACCAGGCAATGGTTCCCACCACTGACAAGTTGGTGTTTAGAGATGACAGATAAGGAAAAAGAAGAACTTGCGTTTTTAAAACTCCTCCTCAAGTTGCAATCTGCTCCATAAGGTGCCTCACAGGAATTACTGTCAAGTGAATGGCAGATTGATGAGTGTATGGGCAGGCAGCACCACAACAGTCCAGTATAATAATAATAATTTTGCATTTGATATAGCGCCTTATCACGTCTTCGAGACGTCTCAAAGCGCTTCACGGGATATACTGTAAAATGAATTGACTATGTTTTGTGGGTAAAATGAAGCAGCCAATTGCACGCAGCAGTGTCTCGTGGAATTGAGTGACTAAATGATTATTTATTTATTTTGAAGGAATTATTACCCCCAGAAAAGCGATCCGGTAATCGACTTAACAACCGGATTCCTACTTACCGTTAGGTAAACGGAGACGTGTGGAGTAAGGAACGTTTCGCCCTGCCCGGGAATCGAACCCGGGTCCTCTCGCCTGTGAGGCGAGTGCTCCAACCACTGAGCTATAGGACTTAAGTGATGACAACACACCTAAATATAACAGGGGTCTGTGGGCAGCAATCAGCAGCACTCACTCCTCTCTAACCAAGGCTACTGAGGCCAATTATAGTACCTCAAAGGCCGAGACCAACCAGCTCAGCACCGAGTGGAATTTGTTTCTGCTGTCTGTATGGCCTAATGCCATCGGGGGAAGTCCTTGAACTATATTTTTTTCTCTAAAAACAGAAAAGTACTAACTTTCATCTCGTGAGTTCCCACTTGTGGCCTAATTGAAACAAAAGAAAGCAATCAATTCAGACTTCTGGCCCTTCTGAAAAGTACATTACAATCCTATAATAATAATAATAATAATAACAGTCCTTGCATTTGATACAGCGCCTCATCCCATCTTCGAGACGTCTCAAAGCCCTTCATAGAATATGCTGCCAAGTGTAGTGACTGTGTATTTTGTGGGCGACATTGTGAAAACGAAGGGGCAATGGCAAGCTCGCGGCTGCCTGCTACAGTGACCTGCGAGGATATGTGTAAGCATATGTCAGCCAAGTCTGTAACTGGTTCCAACAGCTGGGGAACATATTGAATAGCGTTACCAGAGTGGCCACTCGTGTGACGAAGACTTGCTGTCATCAATCATGGCCCTGGAGGAATGTAGGGATGGATAACACTGAACGTGGACATCCCGCAGATGTCCCCCAAACTAGGAGGCCTTGATTCTCCTGAAAACCCGTCCGTTTAAATGCTCGGGCGTTAACCTTGACTGACAGTCGTCATCCCAAGGGTTCGCTCACTCAATGTGGCTTGTCGCACGTATACTGTGTCAGAAAGCAGAGAAAGATCACCGACACATCTGAAAAATAATAATAATAATCTTTGCGTTTGATATAGCGCCTTATCACGTCTTTTAAACGTCTCAAAAAAAAATGTGCTCGCTCAATCCACTGCTGCGTGCTATTGGTTGCCGTTTCTCTGCCA